TCGTTAATCTTTTGTGTTTTTTTTTTATTTTTATTTTGGTTCATATGTATGTTTCGGAGTTTAGTGTGGCGTCCAATTCGCTGAACTAGTATACATTATTGTTAAAGGGCCAGCTGAAGCCCGCCTCCGGGAGCGGGATTTTCTTGCTACGTTGAAGACAACTGCATTAAAGGCCTTGGGCTGTTTTTTGCTCTTTGGTCGGGTTGTTGTCTCTTTGACACATTACCCGTTTCAATTCTCTATTCAAATAAACAAAACTATAACCTTTGAGAGCACGCACGGCTTAAACTGAACATGCCAAACCGTCTAATGTTTTTGTATATGATTCCACCACATACAGTTTCCCTAGAAGTTCAGGTTCATGAACATTAGTATTGGAAGTTACGCTTTGGGCCTCTGAAATAAAATATATATGGTTTTCTACATTGCTTCTGGTGAAAATAGTGATTATATTTGTGTAGTCTGAGGTAAATATATACGCAGCCTTCATATAAATCAGTTCGCTATAACAACGAATAGTGACTGTGGATGTATCCTTGACCATTTTTTTTTTTACCAAATTACAAAAAAAAGAAAAAAGAAAGGACCTCATATCGAGTTTTTGGTAAATAAAGCATTAATCTCCCATCAGAAGAAAATCAGCTCTATACTTTTCATTTGCAACCCTCTGAATGGTTAGTTATATTCATCAATTCAAATTTTTCTTAATTTGAATAAAACCCTATGTACCTGGTCGTTCTAACGATGTACTAACAAGGTTTTTTTTAATCCAGTGAGATATAAATATCTGCATGGATCAGACAAAACTATACAGCTGCGTGATAGACGAGGGTGTGCATTTTTAAATACAAACAAACCAAAACCGCCTGCATGTTCCAACATACCTTTCCAATCTTATTTTTGATTTAATTGGTTGATTGCATAACTATGACCGTATTCGCAGAAATAATGAATGTTATAGACTAACTCTTATATCAATTATTCGGTCATTTTTATGAAACTTTTTAATAATCCGAATATTTTGATTGTCTTCCTCCAGGCATAGATGGCTTTAGCCAAATTTGGCACACATTTTCGCTTCTTTTTTTTTTAGGTTTTCACGGCTCTTCAACTTTTTAATTGTTATAGTTGAGATTCCGACTATTTTGATTCTAGTGCCATTTAATAGAATTGTACATACGACAAAATGCATACTAAACTATAAGGACGGGATCTCGGACGAGTTTTTACAGTTACTGGATTAATGTCACAGATGGAGAATGCTCCTGCGATGCCATTATATATCATTGATGCGGTCATACTACGCATAAAAAGTTAATCATCAGAAACACCGAAAATTTTCTACCACAGCCGTATAAAAATTTGATACAACTGTTTAGTAATTTTTGTTTTGGATGCTTTTCGACTTCATAATTGATTTAGCCTTCCAACTGCTTTAATTCGAGCACCACTTATGAATCTAATTTAGATTGGTGTCTGGCGCACTAAATTTCAATTAGTTTGGTATCTTGAGTTTTTGTTTTGACGAATTTAGTTCATTAAAAGTTCAGTAAGCACGGAGCGGTTTCAAGGGAGGCGACTCCTGCATTTTAAAGCTAAAGTTTTTGGATTTTTCTTCAAAGACAAGGGGGTGGGTGGAAAGTCACACGCATACCCAAAATTGTCAGCTTATCGTTAAACCCACGTGTCTTTTCACTGTCGGACTTTTCCATGAAAGAGCATTTTATCTCGGGGTGTTGCACAATATAACAATCGAATGTCTATTAAAATAATTATTACTGACTAAATTCAACTTACAAAACAGATTTGACAGAACTTTCTACAGACAGAAATAGTATACACACAGATCCAGGGTCTAGCATTATGCCCTTGCTGAAGAGGAAAATGAAGCGACGGGTCCTAGAATTTGATCATGCAGAAAAATAGGTTAATAACTACTTAAAATATTGGACGGACCGAACGACTACCGCGATACCAACCACCAACACCCGACTACCTAAAAAATAGACGTACACAGAGAAACATCAACACATACTTGGTCCGAGTAGCATTGGTGCAGCCAGGCACACAATGGTGTTGGACTAAATCAGTTTTACGTACGCACACACCCCTTCTTGCCTATCTAGACCATGTCAAGTACAATTGAAGCATTCATTAAACAAATAAAATTACATTTTGTTGGTGTCGATCTAAAAGGAACGGACGTTGTAAATTTTAGATTAAGACCTTTCCTTTCGACCATTTTTGCAGGCCGGCGGGACTGATTGATCTGAATTCAACTCGAGTTATTCAAGACTTCATAACCCTTGTGTATGTTGCTAACCTCAATTTCGAGTTATACATATTAAGCCGTTGAATAACAATATTTAGCATGCCCTATTCGGCTAACACATTTGAAGTGGATCCTCTGCTTAATATAAGATCAGCTACAGCATGCAGCTGTTAAAATAAAAACGATTACGTAACCCTGTATCCGTTGCTCTCCTGACTGGTATAAGAGTGAGATTGATACTTTGTGTTTTTGATAAAATTGAGAATGGAAACGGCGAATGCGTCAAAGAGACAACAACTCGGCCAAAGAGCAGTCACAGTTGCATGGTATCGATCTGAGGAGTCAAACCTTTTTCAACTGATTTTTACATTTTGTTCTCATATTGTGATCTTAAACAACTGTCCCAGGTTAGAAGGAGTTGTGCGCACATTTTTAATCCCGCCATATTCTGTATGTGTCTGCCCCCAAGTCAGGAGCCGTTAATTCACTGGTTGTTGTTGGTCGGCGCGACAGTGTCCATTATATTTGTTTTTTGTTTATTGTTTTGTACATAAATCAGGTCGTTGCGGTTTGTTCTCCATTTTTTCATGTCGGGGCCAGTTTTATATCTTATATACCATACTATACGGTAGTGGTTTTGCTCAATTGTTGAAAGCCGTACGGTAACATATAGTTGTTTTATCTACACCATCCTGTCTCTCCCAGCCCTCGGATGTATAATAGTTGTGTCATTTGAAATCGTACCTCATCTTCTTATCTTGAAATAGACATATTCCATTACGCTTCCGTCTTGCGACTTAATGTTTTTTCACACTGCCTATATTACGCGAATTTATATGTTTTGTGACCGTATGTTAATTGTTTCTTCATATTGAGCAGAACACTTAAAACTGTTGAAAATGAATTATTTTGGTAAAAATCAACAGATATGAAGTTGAAGCGGACGACGTAAATTCCGCGGACTTGCATTCTTTCATGACCTCAACCACAAACTCTACGAAAGCATATTGTGGTAATGTCACAAACAAGGCAAACTTATTCAGTTAAAGCCTATACTTCAGGATTAATGGATATGTTCCGGACCATATGAGTATTTGGACCATACGCGTATGGTCATGACCATATGTGTATATAACACGATAAACATTGAAAAGATGTCCCATAAAATAAGAGTTTTTAAAATAAAATTTTGATTCATTCAATCATATGGTCGTAATCATTGTTACATTATTAATGAAATATACTGAGTGAATTTTACTAACAGTATAATCATTTTGTTTCTGAAATAATGATTTAAACATTACGAAAAAAGAAAACAATAGTCCATGCCCCAAACGCCTGTGATTTCACTTACGGACGGAAAAGTCGACAGGCCATATGATAAAGGCGCTTTGAATGGACTCTGTTGAAGGCAATACAACATATACAGTAAGATTCAGACAAGATGTAAAAGATGGAGGATATAAGTTAGAAACTTGTGCCGTTTTGGATTCGGAGAATGAAATATGTGTTCCTGCGAATGAAATAAGAATTTATTCGAAAAATACCTATATGGTCTAAATACTCATATGGTCCGGACCGTTAATAACCAAACGAGTATAATACTCTTATGGTCTGACCATACGCGTATGGTCGGACCATATGAGTATACCCATATAGTCATGACCACACGCGTATGGTCCAAATACTCATATGGTACGGACAAATACATTTTGACTGCGCAAATATCACATGTATAGTTGCAGTACACTGACACATTTAGTATGTTTTGGTATGATGACTTTTAGCGGCCTTGTATGTTTTTTTCACACTGAAAATTTCAATTTAGAATAGAATTTGCAAGACGGAATTTAACAGAAATGTTTTGATTTAAATATTTTAGGGGATTACAACGTCCATTCCATACATTTTATGCCAGTCTTGAATAAAAAGTAATACACACGGCCGTATCCTATATGCTTTAATTGTTTTCTTTTATTTTCTTCAATTTGTCGTTTGATTTAATTTGCTATAAACAGTTTAAATGTAAAACTTAGGTAGCATACATTATTTTTTTAATATTAAGACTGTCGAGAGTTCCACATATAATCATAAATTTTAGAAAAATCCAAGAGATCGTCGATACCTTAATTCATACACAGACATATATATATGCTAAATATATTGTATTAAACTTATCTGGTTCAAACTAATTCTTTTGATATAAAATTATCAATTTGTCGCTTCCGAAGCATAAAAAAACATGTATATGTGATTAATGCCATTACTCTTTTAATTTCCATTTTCGCTGTGACATCAGTTGGAATTACAATTTCAACAATGAAAATAAGTAGAAAAAAATGTATTAATGTATTACAAGAGCTATTCCGAATTGATATTTTCGGAAATATATTCAAAATGCAATAATTTTTAGCCTTTCAAATACATTTATAAATAGAAATAAAGCATGTAAAAACTTATCCATTTTCAATCAATAAAAGTAGGCAATTTTAAGTTACATAAAACAGATCAACAACGATATCAAATGTTGTGGAATAATTTTTATGCAATTGGTTGGTTAATTTTTGTTTTAAATTAAACTATTTTTTAATCGCTTTGATTATTTTGAACAATAGCCGATTTAATAGAATAAAATATAAATTAACTCACCTGTATGAATTTGGTTCCAAGTTAATGTCCTTGAATTATGTAAACTTTTGACGACAGGCGGCACTCAGACCGAAGTTATGTTATATTAAATTTGATTGGTCGTCGTTGAAACTTTGATCTAATAGGATTGGGTTTTATAAAATAAGTTATAGAAGAATGTAAACAATATGGAGGAAAATTCGACAGAAAACTGTACACGTGCACTTCGTGTTAGTCAGGTAATAAAGGAATGACAGTCTAATGTTGACGTGTATTCTGTATCGAAATGTCCTTATTTTCCTATAAACTGCAAGTAAGAAACATAATTTTTATTTGCTGGAGTGGAAAATGACCCCCACATGGTGGGCAGATAGACTTGTCTCAAGTTGAACCCAAATAGAGTATCATGCCTAGTTTGGAATTATAGTTATCTCGTACCATTGTAGACTCGTACCAATGTCAACTCGTACCACTAAACAAAAACTCGTACCAATGCAAACTCGTACCACTGCTAACTCGTACCACGGTAAATTCATACCATTGTAAACTCGTACCAACTTATTTAAATGCATTCAAATGGTGTTTAATGATGAATATATACTTTAATTTCACTCAATACCTCTTAAGTCTGTAAAATGTATATAATTTGAAATTACAATAACCAATTTGTAGCTAATTTTCCTTGTCTAATTGGATAGAGAAAACCGTGGCAGATTGGCTTTGTTGTCTCCCTTGAATAGACTCTTTTTTAAACTTTTACTGACAACTATTTGATTTAATTTTTAATCATTCCAAATCAGTAACATTGAATAGATTTGGGTATTTTTCTATTGTTTCTAAAAGGAATTTTATTTAATGAAAGAATTTATTGATTGTGTTTTAAAGGTTTAAAATTGTTTATGACCAACAGTTAGAAAGTATGAAATTTATTTTTATACAATATTCAGCACATTTCAGCAGAATATGACCATGCTTATATGATTATACAAGTTGATTAGTTAAAGATTAAAAAAAAACAAGTTGATTAATTAATAATCAACCAATAATCACACAATCAAAGGAATTTAATATATTTATTAGCATGGTAATTAAGAAATTACATTCGTATTTTTGTCTAAGTTTTCATTAAAATCTGGTATAAATTTCAAAGATATTTTAATTTTTTGTATAAAGCTTAAAAAAAAATAATCATAAAACTTTCGTATTTTTGTCTAAGTTTTCATTAAAATCTAGTATAAAATTCAAGTAATTCAACTTTTTTTATTTAGTTTACCAAAAAAAAAATCATAAATCATTCGTATTTTTGAATATATTTTTAATGGTACGAGTTTGCAGTGGTACGAGTTCTGTTTGGTACGACTTCCCAGTGGTACGAGTTTACGTTGGTACGAGTTAACTTTTTTGGTACGAGTTTACGTGGTACGAGTTTACAATGGTACGAGTTAACTTGCTTCCCCTAATTTTGAGGACAACAGTGACTGTCAACACCTAAATTTGGATGTAAAATTATGGTTATTCAGTTTCAAAGTTCGAGAACTCTGAATTTGATTTGTAGCAATGAATGAAAGAATATGTGGAGTAAACATCAAGTGGACAGCAACAATAACAGAATAACACAAGTTATTTTTATCAAAATACACTTAATAATCTAGAGTCTTCAACAGTACATATGTGTCAACAGTACATATGTGTCGATGCAAATGATATTTTTTAATGTTTGTTTTACCTGAGTAAATGTTGTCATACTTTACAGAAAACTTTGAATTTATAATCCTACAGCCGAAGATTGTAAATATATTGGAAAGTTCAATTAAAAATGTATTGATCCCAAATGTAGTTAACATAAAAACTGTTTCCAGCTCTCTCTCTAGGTTAATATGATATGCTTTTGATTGTTGTTTTTGCCTTTTAGAGGTCTAGTATCCAGTAGGACAAATAAGACAATATGTTTGAATCCAGTTAAATTTAAAGTTGAACAAAAAGGTTCATACAAGTGGGTACATGTACAGTGTTTTCTTCATGGTTTTACCATGAAATTATCTAAAAAGATTTTATAATGGATAAGAAAAAAAACATGAAATTATAATGGATAAGTTGAAGGTATGTAGATAAGGAACACTGCACAAATGTAATATATTATATGGATTCTAAGACAAAAGGACAACATGTGAATATCAAGTGTTCTTGATACATGTAACTGGTGGTCTTGTTGGTCCTGACAACCAAAACTTGGTAGGTCCACCAATTTCGAGTGTAATGGTGATCTTAGTGTTAGGTTTTATTTTTTTTATTTTTAAGGCTTTCTGGTCATTCTGGTATTAAGTATAGCTCCCAATACATACCTGCCTACTTTCACGATTTAGGCGTGAACTACACGATTTTGACTAGAATCATGCAAATTAAATTTAGGAAAAGGCTTATAAGCTCATCAGTATACCAATAGCTGGTACAAAAATGCCGCAAAATATTGTAACCTTTGAAATTGTTGTCATGCACTAAAACCCCCATGGGGATTTTCAAAAGTTGGCAGGTATGCTAATATTTGATATGGAACCATATAATTATTGTGCAAATTGGCTGCATCTAATTTAAACCTGTGGAAATAATTGATTGCAAAAATTTAGGACTATCAAATTTTCACTAGGACCACCAGATTTGTAGTTTTTGTAGTCCTATTGACCACCAGACTAAAAATGTTTTCTAGAACTCTGAATGTCTAGACCAGTTTTTGTAATGCTGCAAACATCTTGATTTTCATGTCTTGTCAGAGATGAAACTCAGTGGATATGAACTCTAATCTTTACACCCTATTTAGAAACAACGGAAGGTAGCTACATGTAAGTTCCTTTCATCATGCTGATACATTTGTAGTACATAGTTTTGTTCTACTGATCAATATAAGAGGACATAAGGTTGAAGACTTGAAAACTGGATGAACACTGTCATAGGTTCATCAGTCTGAGATGTCTATGAAGTCTGACAGCCTGTTGGAGGCAGTGTGCAATCCATATACATGATATAGAAAACATGGTAATCAAGACCTGCACATTCAGCTGCAAGTTTATGTCTAGAAATCATAATAGTGCTGTTTGTAGATAAATCATACGGTATTTGATTACTTATTCATTTTACATCACAAATAATTACTTTTTATCAACATAACCTCTATATTTCGTTCTTAAAATAGAGCACCAATCAAAAAGCAATGGAAACTACTTGGGCATTCTCTCTCACTTACATTAATGTAAATGTAAGTGAAGCATTTGAGAAGTTTTAAATGGCAGAACTGGGTCCCTGTCGGAATCTTTAAATCGTTTGTCTCTTGCTAAAATTTTGTATCCCGATAAACAATCGGCACCAGTTCATAAAATTTTTCTTTTTTTAACAGGAATAGAAGAGGTAGAAAAAGCACCTCTTGTACCAAAGACGTAGTTTATTAATTTATCTGAAAACTGACACATATTCTGAGGAATAGAGAATGTCACCCATATTATTAATTCACTCGTGGAGAAAGCAAAAACTCCGTGTGCAATGACACTGGACATTAAATAACCATCCATCATGTCCATCATCTAGCTGCGGAACCGTAGCTCTTAGGTCCTTATGATATTTTTTTACTATTTGAGGTCCAAATAGTCAATAAATATCATAAGGACCTAAGAGCTACAGTTCTGCAGCCAGTCCATCATCATGATCATATACATGTATTTATAGTGACTGTTTTGCTGCTTACATGGACAATATTTTGGTTTATGTCACTAAATTGGGTAAACATAAAACTGTTCATGAATCAATGTTAAATTGTTTTAACACATTCACAGAACTATAATATTGATGCATCATACACATGACAATGAATCAATTTTACCCAGTGTATAAATGTCTCAATTTTAAAACCATGATGAAAAAACCCCAATACACTCAGGAATATTGGAGTGAAAAACCCAATTCAATCTTTGCCTGAGGGGTGAAGTTGAACTGATGATGCAAAAGAAAAAACTATTTCACTCAATTACATGAAAAATGAGCAGTAAAAACCCTAATTAGTAAATTCTTATCTGGAGCTCTGCCTTGACCTTATTGTCATGGATCATTGATAATGCTAAGTTTATGGGATAGTTGTAGTAAAACCTTTATCTTTCAGTCATTCAACATTAAAACAACCATGGTCATTAAAGCAGGCGAGATATTTTAGTGTGTGCACTCTTGTTTTAATTAATGTATATATATTTCAGTTAGATGCACAAGAGTTAGACAATGAAGTTATTGCTATAATTAAGAACCAGCTGACAAAGTTACTAAAATATCACAAGGTAGGTCTGTTGATAAATATTCAAAAGAGAGAGACAGGGTAAATTGTGTATAGTCTGAACATTCTCCTACAAACATGTAAAGCTCAAGTAAGATTTACAGAAAATGAATTTTCATTTATTAAGTTTGGGACAAGCTACCACAAATCATGCAAAAAGAATAGTTCCTTAATTGATTGACTATCCTTCAAATTATTACTACTGTCAAGTTGATCTCATGGTAGCTTGCACATCTTTATATTAGGATGATGATTTGATGACTGGCCGTGTCAAACCAAAGACATGAAAATTAGTATTTCCTACTTTTACGCTAAGCACTCTGCATGTAGGAGTAACAATAAGTCTGGTTGGCTAGTTGTCAGAATATTTTTTTTGTGTTGCATGAAGTGCAAAACTGATATAGAATTATTATAGTATGGTGATGTTGGGCAGGCCCTCGGGCAAGTGGGTCATGATAAAGGGTACCCATTTCATGTTTTTTTGTCAATTTGTGTAATCAAGCCTGATCCTTGAATCTTTACAGAAAAATTGCAGTCATTGCATGCATACAAATCAAAGTTATGTACCTGCTATTAACATGATTAAGGAATTTTTCTCTTTTCTCCTAAACTTAGGAACTTAGTTATTTTCCAGCAAAATTTTGTGTTATCAACTCCTCCTACAGCTTTCAACCCAGATCTTATGAACTTCATAGAAAGATTTCAAATGTTTTAAAATTATGCCCCTGCTATTGTGGTACATGTATTGTTGAAGGATTTTTCCCTCCATCTTTCCGTACTTTGTACATGTTAAAACCAAATGATTTTTGTTCATCAAAATTTTCAAAAGATTGCACCAGTTTTGTGTACTCAATCCCCCCTACAGTTTTCAAACTCAGATCTTTTTTCACATTTGATATTTCCATAAACATTCATTATAGACCATTCTTCAATCTTTAAGAAAAATTATGTGTGATCCTGCTTCTTTTATCCAGTTTTAGAAAATATTTTATTAGGTAGTTGCACCAAAAATTATTTCTTTTTCTGTATTTTTAGACTAACATTTTAGTCAGATATGATCCAGAAGTTAGTGTCATCCTAAAACTGCTAGTTTGGAAGGTGAGTTTAAGACTTAATGACGAAATGCTCCACACCACTCACTGAGATATATTAGTGAATTCAGGGCACAGTGCATATCCCTCTATTAGAAAGGTAAATCACCTAATAAGTTCAAGGGACATAATTTATTGGATAAAGGCCAGTGTAATTTCCAGGATTAGAGTCCATGCAAAATGGCTGATTATAGTGATATGGGAAATCTATATACATCATATTTCACTTGAGTAAAAGAGATGCTTTGATTGATTTATATACCAGTATATTTTTTTGCATTGTTATTTTTACATTATATCAACTTAATGTGGATTTTTGGTCAAAAGGATGAATATGTTAGCAATGCAAACTTTTCAGGTCTACAAAAAATACATTTATTTGCTATTTGTTTTAATAAAAAATAAAACACTTGAAATCTGTACATTGATGGGGGGAAATGGTGAGTATGTCATTCTTCAGAATAAAATACTTACGACAAAAAGCTCCTTGTTAAAATTCCACTTTCCTTATCACTGTGTATTAGATTAAAATGAAAGATTTAAATTACTATGTTTGAAAGGTATTTTCAATGGATTTCTAATATCTACTTATAACTTTATATAAAGTTATTAAGGAGAAAATGCCTTACAAAAGGTTGTGTGATCAAATTCATTCTATGTATTGATAAGCAGATTAAGTCTTTCATTGAAGCAATAGAAGAAATTTGCAGATATTGAACTGTCATTTAAAGTCATATGTAATTAGGTTGGACATGCAATTTTAACCTAATCTTTTAGAAATATATCAAATATTATACTAAACTAAAAATTCTTTGGGTTATTTTTCAGTGATTGAACAGAGAATTTCCCCAGTGAGAATATGTTTAACCCTAATGTTTCTTTAATTATATTGGACTTCAGTAGTTGAAATCTTTTTATAGAACAGTTTCATGTAGCTTCAGACATATGAAACCTGCGAATTATTATACTCAGTATATCAGTTGACTTATAAAAAAGGTTGCTAATTGCTTCAATAATGTACATATATCAAAAAAAAATGTTTTTATATTTTAAGGGCCACCTGTCTTTTTAAAAAATCTTAGTAAGCCCTGTTCATTTTTTCCAAAGGTAAAATGAGTTACACGCATATACTCATCCACATGTTTTAATACTGTTGTAGCTTATCAGTCTTTGAAAGGCACCTAGTCCTCTAGATGTCTAAATGTGTAAGCTTGTTTTAATAATCTTATGTAGACAAAATGACATTAGGCATACCAAATTATAAGCCTGATATTTCTGACAAGATTTTTTTTAAAGCAACTGTCCTGAACATTTACTTTTTATACTCATTCACACTCATTCATTCATTCAGTCAATAGGGTTTGTATGATACAGTCAGTCTTTATCAAACTAGATACACCTAAAGAAACCTGTCTAAACAGAACCCCTCAAATTTTAAGGTTTTGTTTGGTCAGGACAAATGCATAGTCCATAAAGGTTGATTTGATAATCTAGAACTTTTCCTTTCATGATTTCCTTCATAGAGGGTTGCTGCTACAAGGAAGCTGTCCTAGTGGTAAAGTTGAGGTAAAAACTTAGAAAGTATTACAGACACCTCCATGATTTGTTGACCATTATAGAATATCTGTTTCACAGATTTACCAGGGATTGTTTCAATTGTCATAGCCACAATCCTTACCTCTTTTCCTTGATTGTTACATCACCTAATTAGACTTATCACCTAGTTTGTACTTACAATGAGCAAACAGATGGATCTGATGATACATGTGGAGTAGGATCTGCCTACCCTTCTGGAACATCTGTGATTACCCTTTTTGTAATTTTTTTAGATTTGGCCGGGGGGGGGGGGGGGGGGGGGGGTTCTGGTTGCTCAGACTTTAGCTTTCTATGTTGTGTTTTGTAGACTGTTGTTTGTCTTTTTAATTTGTTTATTTTTCTGACTTGTGAATATTGATTGTCTCTTTGGTATCTTTTGCTTCTTTTTCACAAAAGAATAGTCATTGTTGAAACCATTTAAATAAGTTCCTGGTTTACGCAAGGATTGGTCTAAAAACATATTATAGTGCAATATTTGTTGTAAACCAAAACATTGACCCCAATAATTTTCAAGTTCCCATTCACAGGATGGTATACCAGTAAAAGCACAACAGAGCTTGAATTTTGAGTCAAGTTTGCATCAACCGGTAAATGTTCAGTTTTGGCTTTAGTGAAGATTATGAACTTGACCTTACCATTTAAAGTTGAACAATCAAGAGTATAGAAACATAAGTTATTGTCATTCTGAATAGGTGATGTTTATATAGTATCTTTCTAATTCACAGTTACTTATATCTAAAAGACAACCATAACCAAACTGGCTTTTGATCATTATAGTTTGCATTGGTGTTATTTCTGGAAAGTAAACTCCCTTGTCAATCTTTTTTTTAACAGCTGAAGTTAACATTTGTTTTGCCTGTCAGTACTTCATTAAATGCAGTTGTCTCCCCTTATCCAAAACATACTGAATGCTATACGTTTGAAACCAGAATACCAGCAGTTCAGATCTCTCTGTCACCAACTTTGTAAGATCTGCTTATTTGATTTATTGCTTATTTTCAATCACAATATGCAGGAACATTAATTCCTCTCAGGACATTAAGGATATACACCTCTGAGAAGCCAAAAATTTCTAGAATTAAACTTTTTTTCTCAACCTGATTTTTGGGTTTATATGACTGTAAAAAAGTAATTGGTGAAGAAAAAATCATATGGTGGTGCACTTCTTTTTTTGCTACAGCCATTTGAAAGTACCCAATTTTGATGATTTTCCCATTTTTCATCAATTTTTACCCATTTTTGGGCTATTATCATGAAAAAAACACAGTTTCACAATTAAACTTTTTTTCATACTTTCACTAAAGATGAAGTGGACTTATCTGAATAAATTTGACTTAAAAAAACTATGGGTAGGTGTTAATATAAGAAAGTTTTATAAATTTTTGTTGCTTTTTCGTGTCAAATTTACCATGTTGTCAATTTTGTAAATTTGGGATTTTTTCACTTTTTTTAGAACAAAAAGCATATTATTTCAACTTCTTTGTTATAAATGATTGAAAAAATACATATCTTAGAAATTTGAAAAGTAAAAAATGATATGGGATGTACATGTATCTGGTAAAATCATTTCTTGTACCCCTCACCCATTTTCTGAACATTTTGGCTGATGAGACTGACTTGATTGGTTATAAAATTTCAAAATTTTATTACTCAAAAACTACTTATTGTAAATACTCAATATTTTCACAGAGTTAAGTTTGATTATAATCTTTTTAAATTCATTGATATTTTCCACTTGTATCACATGTTTTGGAAATAATTCCAGAACGAGATTTCAATGAGACTGAAACGTCAGAAGAATACATCCTTAAGTTTATATCAATCTTTATTTATCTTAACCTTCATATTCAGATTACAGTTAATATAATAAATCATCTCAGGCAATCTTCTAATAAACAAACATTTTTAACAACAAATCTGAAAATTTCATGCTCATATTTTGTACATTACTTTTCATGCACCATGATTCAAGGGGCAGTCAATTAATTTGTTTGAGCAGGATTTTATAATAACTCAGTAGGTATTAATTTCTGAATCCAGGTGTGGACAATTTTACAGGTTTGATCTAAAGAAGATCTGCCGACCAATAATCAAATAGATCAGTTACACCATGTACATTGAATTGATTTACTATGTCTGATTTTTTTTATTCTTTTTTTTCTTTATCAAACTTTAATTATAATAGAAAAATGTGTTTTGAATATTAGATTGAAAGAGGTTTTATGAGCCGTTATTAATGTTAAAAGATAGGTAAACTGTTATGCAATTTGTAGTAAAAAGCTTTGAACATATTCCAAGATTCGATTTATAAGTCAGACATGACCTTAAACGAGTAAATCTTTACAAGGCTATATCAGAAATAGATAACTATTAAGCCAGATTTGCATAAAATACATTTGAAAAGTTATAGAAAAATTCAATGTATCATTTGATTATTATTGACAGAGCTACTGATAGATATTTGAATCGAAGTGACTTTTATTGCTAGTCTAATTTATAGAGTTATAAAAGGGGTTCTTGAATAAACCAATTGCAAAAATTAAAGAATAGTTGATAAAAGGTTGTGAATTGTTGGAGTAGTGAACATCTCCGATAGTGTTATCTAAAGTATCTTATGAAATGATTTAAGTGTGATCATTGTTATATAGTTACTGATGATTTGTAAATCATGTAACCATCAATTCTAAGGTAATTTGTTTGCAACAGAGATTTTGATTGGACAATATCACATATTTTTAGAAAGTAAAATCCCAAGTCATTGTGCTGGTATGGTCTGTCTATTGAGAGACAAAATTTTCATAGCTCTAAAAATTCATTTAAATGTCACATTTTAGTACATTTGTAGCTGCAACTGAATTATAGTAATGGGATTTGATAATTGTCAACATCAGTGTAATAATTTTGCCATCACACATATCTGTATTTTCAATATGCCACAGTTAATTCAAGGATTGATGTCAGCAAGTATAAAAATGAAATACAGTTATTCCATAATTTTACAAATTGAGGAAACATCAACCCATTATCAAAAAGCAAAGAGAGATCTAGAGTTTCTTTGGTCTTCACCAATAGGCAAGTGTCTATATACTTTTACCGTGCTCTGATTGCTTCAATATAAAATAAGGAGATGTGTTATGATTGCCAAAGAGACAGATTTAAGCAATTCTATGAAGGTCACAGTACAGCCTTGACCAGAAAAATTTTGAAAACAAAACTTAACCAAGTTTGTTATTTTATTATTATTTCTAATATGATTTAGTGAACAGTAAACTTTTAGAATTGCTAAGTTGTTAACACCTACATGGCGAAAAAAGAAGAATTTGCTAGCCACTTCAATATTTAAAACTACATTTTACAAATGACTCTATTTAGTCTGAATTCTCGTTCACCGATAAATGCAATATTTACCTCTCTGTTTAAACAATAAAACAGCCGTTAAATGGATCATCAAGTTTATATAACAAAATAAACATTTGATCCAATATCAATATTTGTTTCAGCTAGTTAAATATAACAAATAATGAATAGTACATTACTATATGGTGATAAAAACTTATGTTTTGTGTCAAAGTATGATTAAATTCTATACTCAGTTCAAGACATCCTATATTTAGATCCTTTGAAAAAAAACACCAAATTTCAACTTTGACATGCAAATTTTATAACAAACAACCTACCGGTACTTTTAAAAGCAGATTTTTTACATGTTGAACAGATATATATACAGGTCTAGATTTTTCAAACATTTGAAAGAAAGAGTAATATGAGAGAAAAATTAAGAATTTGAAATGCAGACGTGCAAATGGCAGATAATGAATGTTATTTGAACCAAGTTAGGAATTCGTAGACTAAGCTATTTCTGTGCAAGCATTCTGGCAATTACATTTCTGTTTTTGGAAGTTGTTCTCTATGCCATTAATCTGATTTAAACCACACTTGGGTTTACAATATCTCATAGGAAAGGAAGTCCTGTTTTGAAACAAGACTTTAAGCTATAATAAATGGGAAATCTAGGGATGATTTTTTTCTACTGGATATCTTATGAGTGTTACTTCCAATCATAACCAAATTTTAGTGGAGAATTCATTCTGTTTTATTGAGTACTGTAAATTCAGAAATTATTGCATGCATTCATTATTGCAATTTTTGAAAAATGGACATAAATGCTAGATTAATTATTGCAATTCTGCATACAGATATATGAATCAGATATGAGAATGTGAGTTCTTATTACTGCAATATTCACCCAGACCCATAATTTGCATTAATATAAACCTTGCAATAATTTCTGAATTTACAGTACTTGGTCAAACAGTTCAAGGTCATGGCCGTAAGGAAAGACTGAAATTTGGTGACAGTTTTCATTTTAGGGTAATATCTTTTGATTAATGCTACCAAAACATGTCTTGATAATGTCTCTTGGCCACCCTGTTAGAGGTAGAGACAAGCCTCTATTAGAATTAAGACTTTAAGTTCAAAAGTCTTCTAAGGTCAAAAGTTATTCACATCATAGAAAATAGACTGAAAATTAGGATTTTAATTTTGGTTTGATTAATCGTTGGATAGTTAGAAGAGGATTGTGTATTGATTCACCTTTTCTTCTTAGTGACTTTTGAGAATACCATTCTAAGAATTGTCATTCAGAAGCAAAAAAAAACCTCAAAAATATGAGATAATTGTGCTACAGAATTATAAATTTTGTTGAGTCTTGCTAGCAACTGATGTTTGTTTTGTTGACATGAAATCAAATGCATAAAAGTTGGATTGAACAATAGTTAGATTCTGATACACTCTAATTTTATTTCCTATTGCAGATCGTTATGTGTTATTTCATACGAAGGTATATTGATTGAAGTTAAGAAACGGATGGTAGTTAATCAAGGTAAAGCTTGAAGTTCTTCATTCTCATTGGAAATCATTATTATTGTACTTTTAATGTCAGTATTTTATTATTTCAGGAATTGTTAAATTGAATCAAAAAGTCAGCAGATCTGATTTTGAGCGTGATTCTTTCAGGTCTATGTTCTTATCTGTATACTTCATATTGATTTACAGTCTTATGATTTGAAATCATTCTCAGAATTACTGGTTTGCTTTGTCAGCATTTTGACGAAAGAAATTTCAAAAGGCATACAAGTTTAGGCTCTTTTAGTTGATTACTCTTGTTGACCTCTATGGCAATTAGGCTTACTTTTATTGATGGGTTACTGTCTCATTTGTGTTAACCCAGTATCTTATTTTGTTTACCTATACCTTCTTAGGTAAATATAAAGCATCTATACTTCAACAGTAAATTAAATCTTACAGCTTCCCCTGTATCAAAATTTTTTTTATATGAAATTTATTTAAATTAAGGACAGTCAGACTTTATAAAACAACTGTTCTAACAATATTCACAAGGCTATGTCAAAAACAGCATAATGAAATGGTGCATGGGAAAAGTACTATGAATGCAAAGGTCAAGTTTTTAAGTGAAGCAAATACCGAACAAGACTTTTGGAGGTCATTATAATTTTCTTGAAAATAGCAGGTGCTCATAAAGTAAAGTGAATACTAAACAGTTCTTGAGCATAAATCCAAAACTCTCTGTATCACTTAGGGAAAGTAAATATATGGGAGGAGTAAAAGTGAAAACTTCCTGTAATCCCTTGAGTAAGTGAATTTATTTTTGCAATTTTGAGATGTTGGTAATGTGTGCCATGGTTAGCCGATTCATTTTCTTATAAGTTGAAAGAGTGAATGCCTTGCCATGGAAAGTGTTCTTTATCATGAAGCCCTGTTTATTGGTAGAATCAATGAGAATCGCCTACCTTATTCTCTTCCTCATCTGGATAAAACTCATCTTTGTCAGTAGTATAGGTTCGTTGTGGACTAAATGAGACAGGCAGACTAGTTTGGTATGTTGTATAAGGATGGTGATCTCTACTGGACAAGAGTGGTTGATAGCCAGTATCTCGTGGCATTGGTTTGGCATATACAGGTTCTCTTTGAGGAGGATAAGTTCTAGGACGAGTGTATTTAGATCGTAAAGAGTCAAATCGAGAGGCATGGTGATCAGATGGTTTGGAAGGTTTACTAGTGACATTCTCATAAGTGTTATTTAGTCTTTGCAATGCAGCACTGACATCAGTGAAAATGTCACTGACAGCTGATGAGCCGTCATCTCTATACCCTTGCATAAGGTCATCACTGTCAGCTGATCTCTTTAGTTTAGAAGGTACATCTTCAAAGCTTTCCTCATCACTAACACTACCAATATTATCATCATCATCATCTTCATCTTGATCACTTCCATCAGGTTGGTCTGGAAGCTCTTCATACACAACTTCATCATTTCTATCTCCGTTGAAAGAAACTGGAGATTTTTCAGGTAAAGAATAAAAAAGTTCACTGTCAATGGATTGATATGACTGATCACTTTGCCTGGGTTCACTAGGTACAGAATAAAATTCTTCGTGCACAGGAGATTGTACTGTATCTGTGACCTCTGACCTCTCAATCACTTCCTCTTCCTGTTCAACTGGTGCCCCTGTATCAACATCTGTTTCTTGGCTCTGTGGTGTCCTGGGCGACGGTTCACCAGCTACACCACTATCACTTTTTGCCATAGACACATTTTCATACTGACCACTATCCTGTTCGAGCATCGTCCCATTTCCACTACTGGTATCCTGTTTCTGGTCCCCATTCTCACTATCCATGTTTATTGTTAATTAATTTTCAATACTCCTTCAAACTAGCTATCATCAGTTAAATGTCTATAATTTTTCATTCATGAAAAGATAGTAGTAAAAGTCATGAGAATATTTCCCTAGTAGAGTTAATTCTTTTTTGGGACAGTCACAGTAGTTTTCACATGGGGCACCCAGTCGTGTCTTTTTTGAAACTTGAATCACATGGCTAACGGCCAAATAAAAAGTTCCATTTAAACAATACACACAGTCCTATTAGTTATTTTTTATCAGACCTATAATACACAACAATATTTATTGATTTAAAGCAATATCGAGTGATTATGGGTACCTGCAGGGTTTAAATCTTTACCTGTTTTATACTTGTCATTTAATTATTAGATAGGTGGATTAGATAGAACACCTGGTGGGGGGTTAAAACAAAAACAACTATATCAGCATAAAAATATTAACCCTAAGCAATTATCATTTACGAAAAAGCATCATAAATGAATAATCATATTTCAAAGCTATGAGAGTCTTTTAGAATTAAAAAAATATTTTGTTCACTTAATATGAGCTTTTAAGCGTAAACATTTCTGTTCATAAAAGGTAAATGAAAATGACTGTTCTTTTTCCAAAATTAACATATTTGTCTGTTTAAATCACACAGTTTGACCTGGTGAAAAAGAGAAGAATTATGGTAAATCTCAATGAGACAGAAGTCTACCAATACAAATTTACCAAAGTTGGATATCACATAAATATCATATAAAGGTCACCATGCAGACTGCTTTAAACAAGGGACAAATTACCCCAAACCATATAACAATAAAAATTTCCTGGAGTCTGAGAATCTCAGTTTTAAAAATTTAGTCTGGCATTCACTCTTATAACTTTCACTGATGATAAAAATATTTAATCAAATGTCATATCACATTATGATTATAAACCCTAGTACAAATGAACATTTTGAACATACATAAAACTTATCAATGTTGCATATTTGTAGAAATTTACAGCAACACAAATATATGGCTGACCGAGAGATAGATTACATTTATATCACAGAATTAAATATCGATATAAAAAGGGAATTGTCCTGATCTGCAAATTGTACGAATTGGGGTAGGTGAGAATATGAAATGAAGTGAAAGAGTGTACCTGTCCTGACCTAACAAAACAAAAAGTGTTATGTTGAATTTAAAATTTCAATATTCAAGATTACATCTAGCCTTGAAAATTGTGAAAGATATAAAGGTGAACAATAACATATGAAAAAACATCTTTGATGGACTATAGTTTATATAGGTCTTAGATTGGGTAAATGAATTTCTTTTGAAGTTGATTTGTAAATCAGCTTTGACTTCTGTCTCTATACACAATAATTTATTGCAGATAAAATGCAAGTATTGTCTTTAATCATTCCAGTTTATATTGTGGCAGAAATTTATGTAATACATGTAGCTTAATTTTGGCAGACCTAAGATCTAAATAACTTGTTCAGCAAAAGATAAAAAATGTACAAGATTTTAAAATGACATAAAAATTGAAGGGATATTAGGAATTAATGAATTAGAAACATTTAATAGTAAGATTATATTTATAGGCTTACATAGCTTTGTTCAAGATTTGAGAGGTTACATTACATAAAGTTATATGAACTAGATATATGGTCTTCAAAGTTGCTTGGCTGAGCAACTTTCTCTAAGAGGCAGAAACATCCTCTCAGACATTTTCAAATAATCATAACATAGATGCATCATTGTGCTGTAATAATTCTGAACTAACTGACATGTACTGATGTAGCAAGATTACAAGCTTATTTGTTTTTTTTCATTTTTCAGTTTAAATGTTGTTTATGACATATATCGTCTGATTTATAGACAAGTAATTATGGATGGATTGGTGTTTAATGTCCAGTGGAAAAAAAACGTTGATAACATGGTACATGTAATGTGATATGATTATGAACCAAATGTTTTGTACTAGACACACATGCCGAGTTATATTTTTAAAGTCGGAGTTCATGCAGGTAGAAATGTAACCATATTGTTCTGACTGCAGGACAAAAAGTTTTTCTTTTCTTTACTCGTAAATGCTGTGTGCTTAGTTGAAATGCAGCAAATGTCACTTTTAGCCTTTAGTTTGACAAGAAAGGAGATCAATTCCCACATACATCCTCCAACACTCGAACATAAGACCACCAAGGCAGTTTAGCAAAATAAGTATAGATCTATGGAATTTAATCTTTAAAATGATGTCTCAAAATTTTTTTTGGGTATATATAATCTAGATCTTGAGACCATGTTCTTCATACTTAAACTGAGTTGACAAGTTTTGTGTTAATAATAGGGCATGCTTTTCTTGTTGTCCATATCATGAGCATGAGTCTCCTCCTTAATTTTTAAATTGTAACAACTAAGATATGTCTGAAGTAAGTTCAGAGCAGGTGTAGAGTTTTTCTTTCAATCAACTATTAGCTTCTGATGGTTACTTAGTTTCTGCTGGATTTTAGAGTTATCAAGGTAAATCTGTGTTGCAACAAGGTCACAAGGAAAGGTGTAAAGGACAAAGTATCTGATAGATATAGGGTAAGGTACAAGGGAAATTAAATGTAGATATTGTAAGTGTCAAAGACACGAGGAAAATTAAATGATTAAGAATTTAAAAAAAAAGCCTTTTTTATATACATTGGGTCTTTTTGTTTGTTTTGTAAGTGTACCATTATTTATATATCCACTACAGCCTATTGGTATAATGCATATCTGGGTCTATGATACATAAGCTGGATACTCTTAAATATGCATTGAAGATATAGATTTCAGCCACATGTTCATTGTAAAATGTCAGCTGGTTTATCTTAGTAGAAAAAATGAAAACAATATTTACAAAAGTCTTGAGTTTTAAACTATTGTAAAATATTATAATTACTGAAGACCAAGGAGGATTTAATGTATTAGGCTATGGCAGTTCGAAGATTAATGGTGTTCTACTCCGCAATAAAATAAATATTTTCCAAAATGCTAAATGAAAATAAATGGATCTTGCTTTTGACAATATATATGTTTACTTTTTCAATTCAGGCATTTACTTTTAAGTTCAGACATTCATTAATTGGAGCTATCTACTTTATTTATTTGATCAAGGGTAATATTATTAATCGTCACGATATTGGCCAAACACCTGGTAAAATATATGAAAAGAAGTGTGATATTCCATGATAAACAAATTGTTTAATCGGTCATTTTCTCTCTTAAATAGTTTGTGTCATGAGAAATAGGCCTAAAAGCGTTAAGATGAATCAGTTTATACATGTACCATCAACTCTTTGCTTACCAACAAATGTGTTTAAAGCACTAAAAAGTAAAATAAAGAGCTGCAGATAAAATTAATGTCACCCAGGTCACTTTAGCTTTTAAGATGAATTAAAAGGTTAACAGTAATTTGTTATGAAGTGTATTGGAATGAGGGTAATAGTAACAAATATTTGGCCTTTTAGTCCATTTCCAAAATGGGATCATTTTCAAATGCTTAACAAATAAATTTTGAGAAGTTAAGTAAACTTTTATGTAAAATACATTTAAAATATTAAGTTGTATTAGCTCAGATCTCAATATTACTTAATGCATTTTATCATCAAATTATTTTGTTGCTAATTTCAATTTTTAACCAGTATCTTAAAATGTATCAGATTATCTTTGAATAATTTATGAAATTTCTTATATTGGAGCAATAAAATAATTTATATAGATTATTTTAGCAATACTTTAGTTCTTATGCATTATGCAGTCATGATATTATACCCCATTCATTAAAGTTGGTTAAGGTATAATTTTGTTGTCCTGTCCGCTAGTATGTTCATCATTCAGTCTGTCATTACTTTGTTGTTGTCATGTTAGCAACTTTATTTTTTGTTGGATCCCCTTCAAATTTGAATGAAATTTATAATACAAATTTTAAGCTTCCAAAGCAGATTTTTTTTGCCTGTGACCACAGAATGTTTGACATAGGGATGCTGCTGGCAACAATGGCTGCAGCATTAACTATCTGTATTAAGCGTTATATTTCAGATGAAAGAAGACCCTGATGCTTCATACCTTGTAGAAAGATGCCTTATGTTTTGAAGTTTCACTCTGTCACATGTCAATTCATTACAATTGTCCTTGACCACATTTTGAGCAACTGCTTAAACAAACTATATTTTTACATATGAATTTCTCATACTGTAAACCAACTTTTTTTGGCGAGCGATATATTTTCGCGACTTTAGCGAGTAGAAAAATAACGCAAATATAAATCATCGCAAATATGTAAAACTTTGATCTTTCCTTATTCAACTACATCAAGTAAATTCCAAAATCGCTAAAATTGAATTGTGAAGTGGGCTAAAAAGGGCAATAAGCGAATTAAAGTATCCGCGAACATAAGCTGGTTTACAGTATATAATGATTGATAGGATAACTATGTTTGCTATATAGGATCCTTGCAAGATATACATGGCCATCAAACCTGACCTAGACCTCATTTCGTGGATCACTGATCAAGGTTAAGTTGTCCTGATTATAGGTCTGGTCTGTTTCTCAGATACATTAGCAGTAGGTCAACTATATTTGGTGCATGAAATGATTGTGTGGTGTACATGTTTGTCTGGCAGATTTTTTTTATCTTGACCTCGTTTTCATGGTTCATTGGTAAATAAAATAGAGAATGGAAATGGGGAATGTGTCAAAGAGACAACAACCCGACCATAGAACAGACAACAGCAAAAGGTCACCAACAGGTCTTCAATGCAGCGAGAAATTCCCGCACCCGTAGGCGTCCTTCAGCTGGCCCCTAAACAAATATATATACTAGTTCAGTGATAATGAGCGCCATACTAAACTCCAAATTGTACACAAGAAACTAAAATTAAAAATAATACAAGACTAACAAAGGCTAGAGGCTCCTGACTTGGGACAGGCGCAAAAATGCGGCGGGGTTAAACATGTTTATGAGATCTCAACCCTCCCCCTATACCTCTAGCCAATGTAGAAAAGTAAACGCATAACAATACGCACATTAAAATTCAGTTCAAGAGAAGTCCGAGTCTGATGTCAGAAGATGTAACCAAAGAAAATAAACAAAATGACAATAATACATAAATAACAACAGACTACTAGCAGTTAACTGACATGCCAGCTCCAGACTTCAATTAAACTGATTGAAAGATTATG